AACCGAAGTGAAAAATCAAGGTGCCAATGCCCTCATTTTCCGCCCTGATTCTGCGAGGGCATGCCCTGATTCTGGAATGGCAGTATTAGCAATAATGCCGATCATAAGCCCAGGGCCTAGGGCCTAGAACCCTTCAGATTCAAGGTTGTGATTTCAGTTGGACTTTGGAAGCCTGTCGTTTTGAGTCTAGCTGAAGGACCATGAATCTTGATTTTGTGACATTTCTGAGTGATATATATCCTGATTGGAGGGTGGCTAGTAACGGCTAGTAGGCTAGTAGTGACGCGGCTCTGCCAGCGGCTAGTGGCAAGTGATGGCTAGTGAGGCGTGTGACTGATGCCTGCTTTGTCCAATCATCCCTAAACCCTAAATGCCCTAAATTAAACCCTAAATCCATGTGACCCTATGCCCTAAATACCCAGGTTCCTGGACGGCTTCAAGGCCCTCCAATTCCAGAAGGGCGGGTACTGGATCATCAAGTTCGACATGGACATGTCAATTTGGGCGAACATCTCTCGGAGCAGGCCTGCAATCGCGCAGGGTGTGTAGTAGGGACTAGTCACAAGTGACAAATGATGGTTGTGATTTCGTGCCTTGGACCTGCTTCAAGCTTTCAGGGCTCGAAGACAAGCCAGGCAGATGTAACGTAAATGCAGCTAATGGAGGGCTCCCCCATGCAGGCTCTTCATGCTTCTTTAAAGGATGAGTTCGGGATTGTGGTGCCGAAGCCTTCAAAGCTTCTGGGCACCAGCAAGGTTGGGCAGAGCATAACTGACTCTCGCTCCTGGGTACATCTATCTAGACTAGACTAGACTCTATATGGTGCCTGTAGGCCGTGTAGACCCCAGCCGCCAGCGCACTATAGCTACTCTAGACTCTAGCCGAGACTCTTCTAGCCACTCTAGCCGCCACTAGTCACTAGTCGCTATGTTTTCGGTGAAAGGCCATAGCCTAGGTGCCACAGTGCCTGCAATGTCTCAGCCATGAGTTCTTCTTTGCAAGTCATCGTGTGCACATTTGTGATTGCTTTCTGCTGCTTTTCGTTGCACATGGGCTGGGAAAGTCTTGCAGATGACCTCATTGAAACTGAGCATGCAGGGCAGGTGGCACATGTGCAGAATCGGCCACCAGTGGACGTCCGGACTGGTCGTGGACGTAGACCGGGACAAACTCAAGAGCTGAAGGATGCCGTTGCTCAACAAGCTCAGGCACTGGAGGCAGCAAGATCTGTGAGGTTGCAGGTTGCAGCGCCTGCCCAGTTTGATGATGGTGGTTTGGATTTGCAGGCCTTGACATTTTGTGCAACCGACTTGCAGGCAAGGCTATGTCGTTTCGCAAAGCAGCAGATGTCAAAGCCCGCCATCCCTGACTCTCAAAATTCTGTGGCTGCGATTCTGGAGCACTCCAGTTCCATGTCGTCATGGAAGCTAACAGCTGTGGCCGTGAGATCGAACGTCGACACTAAAAGTGTGCAGAGGGACTATAGAAGAGCATCGGAGGCGCTGTTGCAGTCCTCCAGTCTGCTTTGGCAAATGACTTTGCAACGAATTCTTGATATGTTGTCCAATGAAAGCTTTGAAGGCCTGGTTCTGATTCGCAAGCGGCGATACGATGAGAGCCCCTTCCGCTTACGTTTGCAGGAGGAGGCAGATGGAAGCCTTGCTTTGGATTCTCTAAAGGCTCAGGCTGTTGGATCTGCAAAAGTGATGCAGTCAGAACTGGAGTTTGCTGCTCTCATTCGTCGCAAGGCCCCTAACCATGATCACTACATGTACCAGGAGCTTCATGGTGAGTGCCTTGCGTGGCTGCACGTAGTCGACAAGACGAGCGCAGAGAATATAGCAGAGACACAGAGACAAATCCAGTGCTCAGTGAAGCTGCCAGATCACATAGAAGATAAGTTCAAGCTGGTTTGTGATCTTGTGTGCAGCGACCGTTACACTGCAAATATTGCAGCAGAGCGAAGTTTGCAAAGCGGGTTGACTGGCTGGGTCAAGAACCACAGTTTTTGCTTGCTGCACAAGGCTGCCGCGATTCAGACAACACAATTCAGGCTGATTTCCGGCCACATTTCAGGCCTGCTGAGTGTGGCTTTGTCCATGCAGGCCAGCGGCACCACTGCTCTGTTGAAGGAGCTGCTTTCGCAGCTACTGTCCGACAAGCTCGTAGTGAGGCATAGTCCACCCCCGGTGCAGTTCCGGCGCCACCAAGAAGCCCTCCACGACTTGTTCCTTCCAATTGGTGCTCATTCCAAGTCGGCTTCTCTTCGCAAGAGGCAGCGTGTTATCTTGTCAGCTTTGATGAACGGTGACCTGCAGGATGAAAATCACGTGAGCTATTATACTGAGGATAGCAGCATCAACAAAGCCATGATTGGGGCTGTGTGGGTGAGATTCGCTGTTGCCGCCCTTCTTCCACACAAGTGCCCCCATTTCAATCGTTCCAAGTGGTTAGGCGGGGAACTATGTATCGAATGGTGTGGGCTCCTCAGCTCACACCACAACCTCCTCGAGCCGCTGGTTCAGCTTTGGGTTTCCCGTACATCCTCCATTCCCGTGGGTTTGTTTGTGCGCAAGCAGCAGCAGTCAGAGCAGTCAGAGGCTGTGGGCCGAGCAGGCTGGGACATGCTGGCAGACCGAGTGGCAGTGGTGCACAACGAGGCCGAGGCTCCACGCAGTGAGGATGGTCTCCTGGATCCGGGGCCCCTTCTTGATGAGGCTGCAAGTCGGCGAGAACAAGAGTCCTCAGACCAAGACCCGAACATCAACTGGGCAGAATTTAACAAGGCTAACAAGCGAAAGGCCTTGGCGTGGGTGTCCTGCAGGCCAGGGCCCATCTTGGTTTGTATGCGCTATTGCATGAGGGCCACCCTGCGCATCCTGTTCAAGATCGTTCACTTGGCCTCGGAGGCTTTTGCAAAGCAGCAGTTGGCCAAGGCATCCAGAGGGGAAGCCCGCGAGGCGGCAGTGTTGGAATTTTTTTCGGACGCCACGCAGAATACTTTTGAAGGTGACATTCGGGAGTTGATGCAGTCTGCCATGGCGGGTCTACCTGCCATCGGTTGCTATGAGGCGATGAGGGTGCTTGCTTTCCGAATGCTATCTGTGGCCGCTTGTTCCAGTCGTCAATTGATTTGGCACATGGTTTCAGGATCACCTGTTGCTCTTTTCCGTACTTTGCAGCGCGAGCAAGACGAGAAGTTTGCTCTGCCTTTTTGCCTTCAGGATGAGCTTACAATCTCGGTTATGGCTTTGTATCACAACCAGCTAGAATCTGAAGAATGCTCACAAGTGCTTCGAACATTGGCCCAGCATTTTCATTTGGACATCCTGGATTTGGAGCGGAACCACGTCCGATACGCAGAGCAATCCAAAGCAAATCCATTCACACTTGGACCACAACCTTTGATACACTCTGTGCCCACTGGGTCCTTCGTCGAGCAGCTCTCCTTCGGCGGCCTTTTGCAGCCAAGGTTCGGAAGCAGCCAAAGTGCCGCAAGAAGCCCGTGAAGCAGGTTCAAGGAGGTGGGGCGTGGAGGGCTTTTATGCACTTGAAATCAAAATCACGGGGTGTGCCGTGGACGAAAAGCTTCATGGCAGGAATGAGTCGAGCTTACCGTGCTTTGAAGGGTACCCCGGACTTCGCCATGTTCCAGGATCTTGGTATGTTGGGACACATGAGTCGCAGAGCTGGGAAACGTGCTTTTAGCAAGCCTGCAAGAAAGCCAAGTGCCAGTCGAATGCCTGGAATGCCTGGAGCTCCTGGCAGCAATGCTGCCGGGCAGGACCCTGTGTCGATGTTGCAAGATTCCCTCCAGGCCCAGCTGTCAGCTTTGAAATCTGAGAGCAGACAGCTGACTATCCAGAACAAAGTGGAACAGGAGTCGGCTCAGGAAGCCATCGCTTCGACTTCCGATGCACTTGCTCCGGTGCATGAGGCAGAGGGAGTGGCAAAGCAAACCCAGATTTCTGAGCAGCTTGGCTCTGCCTTTGTTTTTACGCCTGGAAAGCCAAGTGTCGCGCAGTTCCATGCTCCAGCAGACCGCTTTGTCCAGGACTGCTGTGGGGTGGTGCTGAATTATGGATGGGCAGTTTGTTTCAGGATGTGCTATGTCACTGGCTCTTGTGTGCATTCATGAACGGTTTTTTAGGAATTCCCTGTAGCTGCTGCTTTGTTGCGATGGTCATGAAATCTTTTTTCGAGGCCGGTGTAGGCCATAGGCTCAGGTCGTGGAGTTTGTTGCGTCTAGAGTCTAGAGTCTAGAGAATCTAGGTCTTGTTACAGTATACTAGGCCCTGGGCCCTAGGCAATGTAGGACAGTATAGGCCTTCAGCCCCAGCCCCGACTGGTCAGTGAACAAGCATCACTCACATAATTTCCCAGCCCTGTGAGGAGATTTTCAAGCCAACGTACAGGCAGTTTGCCAGGCATGGAGTGGGTGTCAACACAGATCTAGACGAGGCTTGGAAGGAACGCTGTGTGCTCGCGCAACATCAGCGGGCACCTGCCCTGGATTCTTCACATGCATTCCGCACGAGCACTTGCTGCCAGTTGTGCTTCTGTGTGCATCAGGGTGAAGGGCTGAAGGCTTTCCGGATGCACACGAATATTGTCCAATTGCTTAAGCCTCATATCCAAGCAATCCGTCGGAAGAGAAAAAAGGCGGGGGACATGCTGCCTGCAGAGGCAAAGAAGTCTAAACCCCAGCATCCAGAAGCCCGGCGTTTGCTCGACAGTGCTATGCTGGTTTTACGACTTCACGCTGCAACCACTGATGAGGTGGCCACAGTCACTAGTGAGAATGCTGGGGCTGCTGGGGATGCCCCTGCATCCGGGGCATCCATGTCGTGGAATAGGGCAGCCCAGAGAATCCTTGTGCTTGCAGATGAATCCGAGTTCCCAGGTCCGACCCAAGAGTTTTGGCTCCATATTGGCTACATGAATCATAATTCCAAAGTTTTCACTGTGCTGCCTCTGGTCAAGGATGCTGCTTGTGGTGTTCATGCCGACATGGTGAAACTTGTGGCAAGTGATCAGAATGTGCGGGCATATCGGTTGTTTGAGTTCTTGAAAGGCCACATCGATTTTGAGCAGGCTTGGAGGATGAGTCTGTACAAGATTTCTTCTACTTCAGAATCGTTGACTCAAGCTGAATTCCGACCTTCATTCATTCATGTCGGCCACTATCCTGAGATGCCTGAGATGGTTTGTTGGCATGGTTGGTCGCGCAAAGAACGATTCTATGGGGGCGGGGGCGGCGGAGGTGGCTCGGGCCCAGGAGGTGGTCGACGTCGACGGGGTGGTGGTGCCACTCGCGGTCACTCTGATGGGCGCCCTCCTCCTGGTGGTCCTGCTGATGAAGATGAAGAAGATGACGGAGGGGGTGTGGGGTTTGTTTTGCCGCCTGCTGATGACTCTGACGGTGCTGAGGCTGAGAATGTGGTGCTGCTGGATGAAGCCAAAAGCCAGTCTGCCAGTGATCTGGAGGATGCTGCCTCCTGGCCCCCTTCAGATGCGAGTGTGGCTGATGCAGAAGGCATAGAGCAAGCCGGCCCCGATGCTGTGCCAAATTTCCTGGGAGTAGATGGGCTTCTCTCAGAGGCCCCAGCTGCTGCTGCAGCATCCTCATCCGATGCCAGGGTGCCTGAGCTCGAGGCAGATGCAGTGCCGCCTGCGGCACATCCCGCAGCAGGTCGTGCAGGGGGGGGTGTGCGGTCAGGTGAAGAGATCATTCGCGTCGATGTCGCAGGAGGTCGCCTGGTCTATTATGGGGAGTCCCAAGATCTCAAGGTCTTCTGCACGAATGCAGGCCACTTGAATTGTGAGAAGAAGCGAACTGTGAAGCCGGGTGGCCGGAAAGGACAGGGGAGACCGATCGGTTTCCTGCTCGCTTGGCTTGCCGCTGCAGACAGCTTTGAGGATGCTAGCAAACATGTGCACAAGTGCAAACCTACGTTGGCCCAGAGGACGGAAGCAAGAGAGAAATTTAAAACCGTGAATGGCTGGCAGGCACTTGCAGATAAGGAAAGGAAGTGCGGAGAAGGTGAGCCAGAAGAGCCACCGTCTTTCACGTGATCAACAAGCGCACTGCTGTTCCGAGATGCGCATGACGAGAGTCACGAGAGACCATGGGCCAAGGGCGGGGGTGGGTTTTAGATTTCAGATGCTTTAGACTCACTTTAGACTTTAGACTTTAGATTTTGGATTTGAGATGTGTCCGGGATTTCTTTGTGGTAGTGTAGTGCAGTGTAGTGTGTCTTCGTGTGATGTCCATTACAGATTCCAAGGATTCTATGTAGGGTTCCATGGAGGTGTTTTGTTGCCCACAACCAGAACCTTATAGTCTGCAAGCTGTCCATAGTCCACTCTACAGGCCGGTAGCTATAGACTCCAGACACTCCAAACACGAGACACTGGGTTCCAAACCCCAATCACCTAATGCCCCCCCAAATCCAAAGAGTGCAGACGCCCATAACCACAGCCCTCCAACCTTAATCCCTTGGTGTAGCCCCTCGATTATTTTCCTTTTATCACAAGCTTGGATCCCAGCACTTCATTGAGGAGTTGTCAGAGTTGTCCAGCACCCATCCTTGATCCGGTGACCAAGATTGGCAGGTTCCCATCCCAGGTGCCTCTAGAGCCCCAGAGTCGTAGGGTCCTGAGTCGCCCTACAATGGCCCTAGAATCCCTAGAAACTACAGTAACTAGAGCCCTTCAGTCGGAGCCTTGCAAGCCCCGCGATGTTGACGCAGAAATCCTCCAATGTCCCGAACATTCGAGTATAAATGTTCGAAGCACCAGTAAATCATCCCTAGGTCGCTAGGTCCTTTTGTCACTGGGGTTGTCCATTGCTCTCTGGCAGGATCTACATCATGTTCTTGCGCAAGGACCTGTTCACCTATGATGATGCCTTGCAGATCGATGGACTGGTGAAGGCAGTGTGTGGTCAAGAGACTCAGAACCGTTGTAAGGTCTTCCATTGCTTGTGTTGAAGTCAGGGCTGTCTCAACTGTACGACTGTACGAGCTGCTCGCGTCAGAGATGATTCATGGGTCGGTCAGTGTTTGCGGGTTCATCTGGAACACAACTGGCTGATGCCTGTGATGCATGCCACGGTGTAGTGCTTCAGAAAGCCTTAGAACCGTAGAATCCGTAGAAGTGACATGATGACTATTCTGCAGACTTTCGTGATTTGCAGGATGTGCTTTGCCGGCAGAAAGCCTGTGAAGCTGTGCCCATCGAGCGGCTGTTGTTCGAGGAGAAGGACAGCCAACTGGTGCAGGATCTAGTCGACATGGAGAAGGCAGGGCATGGCTTTAGGGCCGTGTATTGCAGTGTGCATCTTGGTGGTCCGCAGTCATGCAGAAACTGCTAGAGTCGCAAGAGCTAGAGTAGCAGCTAGAGTCGCTGGAGTCATCGGAGTAGAATCTAATAACTAGATCATACAAGGTGTCAGTTGCTGGGTCACATGTATGAACGGCTGGGTTTTGTTGGAGGAAGCTTGCCTTTAAATAACGGGTCGGAGCTGGCTGAGTTTCTTGGTGTGGGGCCGTTGAAAGCTGCCAGCCTGGCGGGTTGGGTTGGTGTGGAGGGTTTCAGAACTGCCAGGCCATCGGTTTTGCAACCGGCCGAATCGAAGAAAAACCGAAAAAAAACCATATATTGTTTTTGAGAAGAATTCGTAAATTTTTTGTAAATTCCTAAGGGAAATTCAATTTTTTTTCGATTTCTGCTGGAATTTAGAACCTATTTAGGAACGAAACCCAGTTTTCGGGTCCCAAATCGTAAAAAAATCATAAAAAAACCATAAAAACCTAAGGTTTTTATGATTTTTTTATGGTTTCAGGCCAGATCCTTGGTTTTGGGGTGGTTTTTGGGCCCAAATCGTAAAAAAATCATAAAAAAACCATAAAAACCCAAGGTTTTTATGATTTTTTTATGGTTTCAGGCCTGGTCCTTGGTTTTGGGGTGGTTTTGGGCCCAAATCGTAAAAAAATCATAAAAAAAACCATAAAAACCTAGGGTTTTTATGATTTTTTTACGGTTTCAGGCCTGGTCCTTGGTTTTGGGGTGGTTTTGGGCCCAAATCGTTAAAAACTCAAAAACCTAGGGTTTTTATGATTTTTTTATGGTTTC